TTATTAGCTCCTGTTTATACTGTCATTCCTCTTATCAGTAGAAGATTATTTATACAGCTCCCAACCCAAGAGCTTCTTGTTTATCTTATTACAGAAGCCATTAAAGAAAGTTTCTATAAAAAGCAGCTTCTGTGTTCAGTGTAAGAGCAAGTAAATGTTCTGCTGGGTTTTGCTCCTTATCAAGCATTTCTTTATTTTCTAGGCACCATTTCATAACTTCCTTGGCCATTTTTAACTCTGTTTTCTCACACAACAGAATACTTCCTTGTGTGCCTTCCTCGTTTACTACTCGACCTCAGTTTTATTATTTGATCACTTTGAAATTGTCTGGTCATTAAAAAAGCAACAACCCCTAAATAGGGGTATAGGCCTACATTGTGCTACCTTAACCATGGACTTCAAACTTCAGGTACTACTATATATTTTTTTTCTCTCCCTTTCTTCCCCACCATCCCCCTTATCCGCAATGGAAAAATAAAAAGGAAAAGTCATAGCTTGCTACTGCAGATGCACAGAAAACAAACCTTTATGATGGTGTATTTTTGTGTATGGTGCCTTTTGTATGAACTCTATCCCAAGACACTTCACAAACGTTAAACAAGGGAAGTTGGGACCAAGAATCAGAGCAAGTCTGAGGCTGGGAGAGGTGGAGGAATTTGTAGTAAGATTCTAGGGCAGGGTCGATACCAAAGGTCACATCCTAGTGAAGTTTCAGGCTGCAGTTAAGGAGACCAAGGCCAGGACAAGACAAGGTCAGAGCAGGGAGCAGAAACAGTTATGGGAACTAACCAGAAGATCCACACTGTTGCTTAGACACTTCCTAGAATCCTCTTTATGTCTGTATTGGTTGGGGAGCTAATGACGAATCATGAGTCTGCTGTTTGTCAGAGTCCTTGAGGCAGAACTTCCCATGGTCCGTGTTCCCAGCAAGTTGTTGGACCACAGAGCACAAGTTAGCTACAGCTGCTGCTGAGTGTCATCTCAAAGATGTCAGCAGCATAGCTGCTGTCCAGACCTGGAGTCTAGACTTGTGAGGTTTTACAAACAGCAGCCAAGGAGGTAAGATCAGGCAAGGGAAAAAGAGATCCTCAGAGGAGAGTTCACAGGGACTGGAAGGATTCGGAAAAATAGTCCTAACTGGCAGCAAAGGCTCTTGCATCACAAACGGTAAAATTATGTGAAGAGATGGAGAACAAAAACACCGGGGCCTGTTGCTGGCAAGTAGAAGGATCAATTTACACCAGTTCTGCTAGCTGACACAAGCTGGAAATCTCGTTCAAGATCCACGATTTGAAAATGGCACATACACTTTAGCTACCAGGCGCTCGTCCCTCCCAACCCTCCTGTAGTATGCATTTTAGGGGAGAAAGGGGAGTTAAAAGTTTACACCTGGAATCCTGAAGCCATGTCCTTCAGTAGCACGGAAGGACACTGTCAAAACTAGCATTTGCTTTCAAGGCCTAACTAATGGGCAACACCTGCAGGTAAAGCTTTCGGGAAGAGATAGTCTTTTTGGTCAGATTAGGAGTTATAGTAAGAGGGCCAGGAATGACCCTAATTTTAAAAAGCTCTAAAGAACGAGTCTTGCTTTGTTCCCAGCATCTGCCGCTGTAAATTGAAAGAGGGTACCCTGGAAGAGGTGGCACACTGCCCCAGATTTGATTTCCTGTCTCCTTCCAGGGGGCACAGATGGAAGACCTAAAACACCATCCAGGCCATCTTCCCATCAGTGCAGGATCATTTCCTAGAAGGCAATTTTCTAGAATTGCTCTTCTCCCAAGAGCTTGGCACTTCTAGTCACATTTGCTTTCTTAATTATCTGACTAGTTCAAGACTGCGATTCAGGTGTGGGTCTAAAAAACAACTAAATAAAGGTCAGGTACATGGTGGTCAGGTACAAGGCACCAAAAGGTCAGGTTTTTTCCCTGGCTGTATTCTCAATTCTGCCACCAACTCTCTGTCTGACCTTGGTCCAGCCACTTAAACCTCCCTGCAGAGTGGGAAGCATAAGAATTCATCCATGTTCATTCAGTGCTTTGGAACTAGAGTGTTGTGTGAAGGTTTAAGTAGCTCATTCATCCCTAATGTGAATGGAGAAAAAGAAGGAAAGAGGGAGAAATCTGGTACTTTCTCCCTTTGAGACAAGGTTAGCATTAACATGGCCACTCCCTCATGTCTGCCTTTCATTACTATTTGTGGACAAGTTCTCATAATCAGGCTGCTAAGTGTGTCGCTGCGAGCTGTGGGCCCATTCCCAGATACATATTTGTGTACATCCATTTGCCACATGTAATAGGGTAACTTCAGAATGAAAGAAAAGTGAGTTAGCTTTGAGATAGGAACTGCGCTTATTGCATTGCTGGAAAATAAATTTGCTAGCACAAGCCACACACACGCACATGAAAAAGTGATTCACCGGGGAAGTTCCATGAAGTGCGGGACAATGGGTCTTAAATCAAAGGCATACATTAGCATGACTAAGCTGACAGATCTGCACTGCAATGCAGAAAGCGAAGCAATATTCCAACCTCTGCACCAGCCCTAGCGGCCGGTGGCTAGACACAGGACCCAAAATGAATAAAAGGCTCTTCAAGCTCTTACCTGTTACCTGTGCAACAACTGCTTGGGAAATCCTCCGATTGGCAAGAAAGGCTTTGATTTCCTCCTTTATCACGCTACTGTCCCTCCTACCAAAACAAAAAGAATAAAAAACAAGAGAGACAGACAGACCAAAGGGAACTCTGAAGATGTAAAATGGTTTTATTTCCTTTCCTTCAGGGGTGGGGGCCTCTGCTCTGAGGGGAAAAAACAGTCAAAATAGCTCACCAGTGGACACTTCTTTTAATGAGTATCATGTTTGATCAAAGCATTTTAGCAGGCGGATGGATGACTCATAGCCTATATAATTCATCCTAGGTGTAGGGCAGCCATATGGAATGTACAAAGTTTCATTACACAGGCACGAATAAATCTCTCATACCCGCATTAAAACTCAGTCGTAAAACGAAGCATAAAAAATAAAAGATAGTGGAGTCTGTATGGTTAGCTACACAAATGAGGATATCGACAAGTCCTCTCCAACATTTCAAACAACGGAGCTGAAGGAAGGAAGAGAGTTTGCAACCTCTGCCCTAACAACCTCCCTTCTCCCCAAAAGTGCGGTGCGGGAGGAAAGAACACCAGTAATCATTATAGCCCTAGTTTATTATTTTTAAAAAGTGTGGAGAGAAGGTTCAAAGAAGTGACTGAATAATTATGCTAAAAGGAAAATAATTTCACTGCTCATTCAGCCTCTTGCTGGAACCAATCTTCCATCTCTCATCTTATACACTATTAAGATTGTGGATTTTAAACATTAGGGTAACACCCACCCACGCTTTCCCATATTGCTATAGGGGAGGGGTAACCTGCCTAACAAGGAAGAAGCCCCTTAATGGGAAAAAGGAAGACCACTGATTTTTACTTTAAGCTTTCCAAAGATGAGACCTGTCTTTTCATAATTAGTTTTATTTCAGTATTGCCACTCTTGGCACTCCATAAGGCACAAACAGAGGTAGTCCTGCCCCAAGGAGCTTACTAGATAAACAAGGCAGATAAGACACAATATATCGCAAGTCCTTCCAGAAGGCATCAACAGAGCCCTTCCCCCGCCCCATACAACATTGGGAAAGAGACGGTGTTGCATTGACCTGGGCCAGTGGTGGAGAATCTCATGGAAGAGGAGGGATGTTCCACGGGATGCGAATGTGGTAAGATGGAAACAGTGCCCTGAGATAAAGAAGTCAATCCAGGATTTGGAAAAAAATAAAAACTGAAGAGGGATCTGTGCTGTAGCACAGGATGAATTTGCACAGAGCTTTGAAGAGAAGGGTGGCCAATGGGAGGCAAAGGGATAATTATCTAAGGCACCCCTCACCCTCACAAAAGTAGCCCCCGCCCAGGTGCAAATTCTTCTCCGAGGGCTCATTCGGCTGATTTACTGAACCATCTACACGTTTTACTAACCTCATCAATTCTTCCACTTTGTCATCTACGTCCAAGTCCTCTTCAGAGGCTTCAAAACTATACGACCTCTGAGCCAAGCTGTTTGCAAGTGGATAGCGGGTGGGTGACATCTTGCCATTGAATGCCGACAACCTCTCGTTACTCTCCCTCCCATTCTGATTAGTAGTGCAAGGCTGTGGGGAGGTGTCGTAACTGTTGCTAGGCGACGGGGACATCCCAGAATGCTGGGTCTGCGTGGAAGCCGTGGCTGTAGAAGAAGATGCTGCGACGTTGTTGGTATTGTTGCCATAGGAACCACCTCCATAGCTAGACCTTCTTCCAAACTTGTCACTATGTTCTTGGTCAAGACGGTCCAAGGTTTCCAAGGCATGGAGGATTTCGTGTCTGGTCATCCCAGTACGTCTTAGGCGCTGAAGCAGGTCTATCTGCTCTATAGTAAATCTGGGTTCATCTGTGTAGTGAGACATGGTTTCCAGCAGACTAAAAATAAAGGTGAAATGTGAAAGCAAACGGTTTAGTGCAAAAGCTCACTATGGGGCATGTATAGCACCGCAGCACAGCACTTAAAAGAAGACAAAAAACCTGATTCTGGCCTCATTTATACCAGCTTAAATCACATACATGAGAGAAGCAGGGCCAATGGGCGGAATCCTTCATCCCTTGAACTCAGTGGCAAATCTCCCATTAACTTCAGGATTGTCATCTGCTGTGGAAATTTCTCTTTTACCAGAAGTTTCCAGATAATACCTCTCTCTTACTTCAGATCCCTCCCAATGTACCTTTTGGCTTTCTTCCTGTTCCCAGCCTCCCTCTTCACCTTCCATAAACATGCCTTATAGAATGAGGACAGCTGCTTCATAATTAAAGATGTAACTGAGACTCCACAATCTGACCAGTTTCAACCAATCCCCAAATCCACCATCCAAAGTCCTTACTGGGAGAGTGCTATGTGGCTAGCAAATTTGGATCTGCATCTGATCTGCAAACATGGTCCTTGGCAGTGTTTTTCCATCAATGGGTGGAATAAATTTTGTTATGTGCACTGAGGCATGTGCAGATGTACACCACCAGTAGAAAAACATGCTGCCAGCCCTGGCAGGCTGTGGGCGCTTTGCCAATCAGCTGGGTGACCACCCAAGCACTCAGCTTACAGGGAACACTGGTCCACGGATATAAAACAGACATCCGCAGATTTTCCGGGCTCTACCCATTGGCCTTGAAATACACAGGTTAGCTCTGGGCCAAAAGCAGATTTTTTTGAGAAACATTCAGTCTTTCAGAAAAGGGTTCATAAATCATGATTCCCTAACATCAGAAGTGTGAAGAGATCAAGCAGTCTTAACTTTTTTGAAGGAAGGAGAGCGCTAGAACCCAGTTTGTTAAACTTCCCTAAATGAAATCTAGTGCCCCACAGCACCAAAGTGCAGATGATAGAAGTTTCATTTAAGAAATTACTAACTTTTGAATCTGGAACACTGCCATGGATTGCCAGACCTGACAAGCACAGTGCAGCATGTCACATTACTGTTAGAGACCTGAGCTCATTGCAAAATGGTGACAATCAATGCTGGGCACTCTCCCTTCCTGCAGGCATCAGCAGGTCAAGGGGATATGGCCATACAGCCCCTTCATAGGGTTGCCAGGTGTCTGGTTTTCGCCTGGACTGTCCATTATTTGGGTCTCTTGTCTGGTAAAAAAAAAAAAACCCAGAAAATACCGGATATGTAAAATGTCCCGTATTTCCTGTTTCCCCTCGGATGGAAGCCCAGTGGGGACAATTTTCCCCTGCTGCATTTGTCGGGGGAGTGAGGGACTTGGGGTCATTTAAAGGCACAGCACCTTCTTTTTTTTTTTTTTTTTGCTCAACTGCCCCCCCCCCCCCCCCCCCCCCATTTTGCTCAAACCTGAGTAGGAATCAAATATCATCTTAATTTTAATCTGGAAATTTTTAATTTTACGGTCACCCTGCAAAATCATAAATCCCTTCAACTCTCTCCTCTCAAGTCCCCTTATAAGAGACCTTCTAAAGTCTACGCGAAGCAGAGGCCCTTCTTTCAGCCATCAGAGGATCTTTGAGGTGGAAGCTGGAGGTCAAAGGGCAGCATAACAATGGGGCAAAATTATGGGGTATTCGCCCCTTTCTGTGGTCCCTCAGAGTCTTTGTGAGAAGAGAAGCAATGGCAAACTCTCTAGAGTTCACTGGAGCCATCCTGGAATCCCAAGCATGGCAGTGGATGGTAAGAGGGCTGACAATATACTAAGCATGTGTGGGGAGCCCTAAGGAGCATAGTAAAACCGGGGGGAAGGGAATAGGACCCGATGATATTCCCAGACCTTTACATAAGTGGGGCTGCCTTCCCCAACAACCCTGCACCCCAAATGAACTCGGTGTTTGTCTTCTCTGTGTTAGGCCAAGTGCATGAGATGCTGGCAGTTCCCAGTGCTTACTACTCTTGGTGTCGATGTGTGTATGGAGAGTCCTTTCCAGGCTGCTACATCCATGATAAAGTTCTGACCTGGGGGAAGAGAGATTGGCCATCCTAGAGCCAGGCTGCTATACCATGACTCTGACACAGGATGCATGGGTCCCTTTAAAAGGGGGAAGTTCCGCACCTATAAATGGAATCCCAGGGTACAGAGGGATGGGCAGTGAAGCAGAAGCACCTACCTCAAGTCCTGCCCAGTTATACACACTCAGTCCCTTAAGTTGGTTTGCTCCTCACAATTGCAGAAGTGGCTACGGCTGTGTTCTTAAAAACGATTTAACAAATGAATACGCATTTTTCTTCTCGAGTCCACAAGCGTGTCTGCCCTCATAAATGTTCAGCATTGCTGCTGCCACCAGGGGACACAAGGGTGGATAGGGGAGAGGAGTGGAGGAGGATTCACGGGGACTCATGCCCCGTGACCCTAGCTGCGAGGGTGAGACGAGGCTGGAGTCATGTTGGTCCAGTGCCCTCCAACACTCTTCTGCTGCCATTGGTAGTAGATCACTCCAATGAGAGTCTGACTTTTATGGCTGATTAGTATTCATTTCTGCAATAATGATTATTTTAAATAAAAAAACCCTGCCTCCCAACTGTGTCTGCTATAATCAGAGGGTGACAGCCAGTGCAGAATTCTAATAATTGAATGGAGCTGCAAACAATTAAGAGATGGAAGCCAGCTCCCAGATCATTTAGTTCAGTCCGGAGGGAAAGTGAAATGATAGGAACTCCAATTTTAACTTGAGTTCAATCCCAAGCTTTAGCTCTAGCTGCTAACTGGAGTTGCCATGTCTTCACTGCTATTTTAATAGTCAGCTCCTGAAGGTTACCTCGCCTACCTTAAGAAAACACAGTAAAGCCAAGTCTACACTTAAACCACAACAGTGACACACTACAGTGGTTACTCCACCTCTCCGAGAGACACTAGCCAGGTTGACAGAAGAATTCTTCTTTCGACCTGGTCTTGCATACAGCGGGGGTTAGTTGCTCTTACTTACGTTGTTCAAAGAGGTGGATTTTTCACACCGCTGAGCAACATGACTGGGCTGATCTAACTATTTAACATAGACCTGGCCTAAGTACTATATCACGTACCTACCAACCCTCGGGTTCACAGTGCTTTCCAGTTAAAACATGGATTTCGGCCATGACCCTGAAATGCATTACACCCACACAGAGCCTCAGAGACATTATGGGGCTCTGGTAGGTCTGGGGCCTTAATGTGCTTTTCAGCCCCCCCTTCCAGATGTTAAAGGGAGGCTATGACCACAAAACATACCTTTACAATGTATGGCACTTTTCCATAATAATTCCTCATCAAAGAGGATTTAAGCCTGTTGTTTATTTTTGGGTTGTGTTTTCGTACTTTAGACTGACCTCTAGTTTCTGACTGAAGGCAGGGAAGGTTGTTCTGATGCAAAGAAAGGGAGGGGATTTGAATTAGACTCTTTGAGTACATCTCCCATTTGCTGGGAGGTATGATTATGAGCTTAAGCAGAGGTATTTGTGCTAGTTCTGCTCGAGGCAGCAGACTACACATAGCAGTGTAGTCAGGGTAGCACCATCTAAGTATATACCCTCTGGGCCCCCTCACTGGGTACATGTTCAGGTGGCTAGCTTGAGACATTGCCTGAGCTCCCACGGATGCAATGATACTTTTAGCACAGTCTTTCTTGAATTGTGTTCTGTGGCACACCGGTGTGCCGCAGAGAACAACAGAATTCAAAATGGCCACCCTTAAAGGGGCAAGCAACTTTTTGTTTTGGTTCAATAACTTCCCCTCGACCTTTTTTTCCTGTAACTTTCCCCCCCGACTCTTTTTCCCCAACCTTTTTTTTGGCTCAACAAAAAATCCTTGGTGTTTCGCATAAAAAAATATTATTGTTTGGTGTTTCTCGGTCTTAAAAAGTTTAAGAAACACTGTTTTAGCACATTAGGTCAAGCAGAACTAGTGTGAGTACCATGGGCAGCAGGTGAACCTAAGACTGAGGGAAGCAGGCCCCAGCCCTGCCCCTGACAAGCAGGGCCCCCCATACTATTGGGGCAGCTGGCGGCATGGCCCCAGCGTTGGTGGGGCTGAATCCCAGACTGCCTGAGGGAGACGCACTGAAGGGGAATGGAACCTGGGGGCAAAGCACGGGTAGGGCCAGGCAATCTGTTTGGGAAGACATTGCCTTCCCCTGCCTATTATCCCTGATGCCCATGGCGAGTACACTGAGGGTATATTTACACCTTCCTGCTGCAGCTCGAGGACACGGAGCTCACACTGATGGAGCTAGCATGGTGAAGTGTAGCCGCAGCTCCACAAGCAATGGGAGGGGCTAGACTCCGTAAGCGCAATCCCTTCTGAGGCGCTAAGCACATACTCAACACACGGCCAGCCCTTGCCGCTGCTCTTCTGGTTTCAGCTCGCTAGCTCAATCAGAGAGAGCGCAAATACGTTTCCTCGAGCTGGAATTTACGCCTTCCCGCTGCAGCACAATGGCACTATGTCAGGCAAGAGAAACACTCGCCACAGCCTGTAAGGAGCCAATCTGCATTTGGTTTACACAGTTTTCCCTTCCCAGCTCTCCATTACTTCGCAAAAAGGGCCATCAACAATTCAGCAAGTTCATCAATTAGTTTCCCTAAGCACAAGCTCACATGCTTTAAATTGGGAGTCAGACATCCCAAACCCATGAGATTGGCTTAAAAGCCAAGAGGGTTTTGTTATTTTTTTTTACAATTACTACTTGTGGAAGAGTTTTTATTTGCCTGGTGGATTTTGAATGGTAGGTCACATTTTCAAGATTTTCTACTCAATCATGAGTACTACTAACTTGATTTTGTTTTTAAATCTTCTGGGATCCTCACATATAAGAGGTGGGACGTCAAGAAAAATACCACAGAACGTGAGACCTGCAGTAAAAGTCATAAAAGTTGGCAACACTAAAATATGTTCAACATTACCAAGCCTCCATGGCATTTTAAACAGTAACTATATTATTAGGTAAA